AACCAATAATGGCTAAATTAAAAAAAAGAAAAAAAGAAAAAAGAAGAGAGCAGACAGCTTACTATTAGGGGATCAAAATATTAAATTTGAAGTTTTAAATTTAAATTTTAAAAAATATTTAAAAAATAAAGTTATTCACACAACTCATATCAATTTTTTAAAAAAATAAAAAAAACGAAGCAGAGATTGTGGAATCAGATCATCAATTATTTGGGGAAGTCAATGTGGGGTTTTAAACTTTCAACGCCAAAATCTACAGCATGGAATTAAAGGAGGCACACTTTAATTTTGAGGTGAAGGGCAGCCCCTCAACTCCTCATTTGTGAACAATTAACCTATAAGCAAAATTCAGTGGAAAATCTATCCTTTAACACCTCAGTCGTGGCAAATCAAACCTTTTCCGTTATATGACGTCAGGTTTCTATCCAAATGCAACGGAGATGCCCACCTTCCTTCCTTAAAAAATGGAAGAGGACATAATCATTGTAGTACTTGTGGCATTGCCTTGAGGAATTACCGAAGAAAAAAAAGTTGCATTTAGCTCATCCCTAACTCAAATATTACTATTAAAATTTTCAGTATAATTAATAATTTAAATAATTCAGTAGTTATTTTTTTTGCTAAAAATAAAAAGTTTTGATTTTAAGTCGCATGGCATATAGGTGAGGTGAGATAAGAGATGAAAGATAATTATCTTTTATTATGCACTTAAAATAAAAAAATTAAATTTTATTAAGTTTCCCACTTAATGGCTAATGCTATCACATTAGAGCCAAATATGTAAGCAATTTAGCATTAGGCGGAATTTTTTAAGAAAATGAAATAACATTCATTAGATCTTGAATTTGAATTTGTATGATATTATAAATAAGATTTATTAGAGTTTAATTTATAATAAAGAGGTTAATGGATATAATTTTATATAATATAATTATTATCTGTAACTTGATTCAAAACTTTGAATAACATTTATCATAAAAAAAACCTCCATTGAATTTAATGTCTTATTTATTAAATAGTCGAATAATAATTTTTTAATAAAACTAAATTAATAGGTTTTGAATAATATCAACTATTTAACTCAATAATTAATAGTAATTTTCTTTTTTTTA